GTAGCTAAATGAATTGAGCATTAGTTTACTCCTTTAATCTGCTTCCTCTGCTTTGTGTCTTCAAGTAACTGTGTTGGATCATTGAGCTCAGGAGCATCTTTGCATATTGTTGAGGCAGGGCTTTTTAGCATGCTGGCCCTAGAGAATATTAGGATTTTCTTACATCTTTCCGTGTAACTCCCCTGCCTGATTCTTAGCAGCCAATGTACAGTTTATCCAGAGGTTAGTGTCACTTTCAGATGAGTGAATTGAGGTACTACTAATGGGGACAAGCTACGTTAACTTAAGAGATCTGAACTGGGCTGAGACCAACTGCAAAGCAACCTGCCTATGTATTCCTTCATGGAGAACCCTATCAAAAATAGGTGCTGAAATGTGTGTAACAAAACCTTTGTTCTGAAGAAAGTCTGTGGCTCTGAGCACCCCAGGGGTCACTTGCCACGTGCAGTTCTGATGGCTAGGGGTACTGCTCTCAGTACTGGGGATCGCAACTGAACATCATCTCTGACTATCTGGGTCTGGATTCTGAGGCTGTGTCAAAGCTGTGGGGCCAATTCCCCTGTCCCTGTGCAAACCTCCAGACGCCACGGCTGAGGGATACCTTCCCTTTGTCCTCCTCTCCCTCCACAGAACTCTTGGTTTCAGCTGGAGGAGTCAGGGCCTGCTGTGTGTAACCATCCACCATTGCTGGGCTGGTTTAATTGTTGTCTAACCCTCTGAGGCACCCAGAATTAAGGGATGTGTCTCAGGGTGAGAGGAGGTGTGCTTCAGGCATTTAAGACTCTGCCTTCTCGAGGTGGAGTCCAGAGAATTCTTTTGCTTCCTATTGCAGCAGTAGGATTTGAAGTGACACAAATAGAAATCAGAGAGAAGCCAACTCTTTAAACAAGATCTGGGTTATGAATCAAACGCTGCTCACAACTAAGAGAGGAAATGTTTCGGGACATGGTGCTCTCAGCTCTCTAACCTTAGAGCAAGTTTGTCATAATCATACTGATGCTGATCTTCCTAAGGAATCGGATCCTGATCGCCATTGCATTGTGCTTATAAGAGCTTTCTCGTTTGCAGGAAGACATTTCTTATCTCCCAGCTCCCTGCCTTAAGAGTACAGACGCTGTTAGCGGCCCCATGTATCCTGGGTGCAAGGAGGTGTGTGCCCAGTGTGGGGCACTGTTAATAGGAGCCTAAGAGCTACAGCTGCCAGCTTTGCTCTGTCATTGGATTGTCTCCAGAGAGACATATACTAGTGGTAGAGGAATGGTGTTGTTTTGGCTGGGGCTTTTAATTTAGGAAAGACCTTTTTTTCTGGAAATGCATAAGTCTGCAGAGGGAAAAGGAGAATTCCACTACCAGACCTTGTGATGTGGTGTGGTCCAAGGCTCTTCTTTTCAGCTCTGCTTACAAAGGAAAGCAGAGCAGGATGTGAGAGTTGGGAGGCCTCTTCATTTTGTGTTTTCTGAAATCTGGATAGGCTTTATTCACATTGGTTCCTGGTTTATCCAGTGCCAACTCTTAGTTGTGGTTTGAGTTTGGTTTGGGTTTGTTTTCATGGGAACATAAGAAAGGAGAAATGGACTTAACACGCCCTTGGATTTAATTGCAAATAAGCTAAGGCCTTGAGGGCCTCAGAAGTAGAGCTCTGTTAGAGCACATGGAGTTAGCTCTGAGTTTCTCTGTGTGCACTTGCTTGTAGTTTTCTGCCCTCTCTGTTGGTGTTATGGTTCTCAGGAGTCAGGGTTTAGGATTTTTGTAATGGGATTGGGAAATGCTGAGGTTCTGCATTCAGCCAGGTACCTGTTTCCTGTCTTATGCTCCTGTGCAGTTAAAGCATTGCAATTAATTAATTATCTGTGTACCTCTCTGGAGGAACAGTCTTCTGGTCTACAAGACCGGATCAGTCTCTGCTTTCACCTTAGCCAAACCAGTGTTAAAAGGGCTATTTGGTCACTTGGCACTTGCTGCACCGGTGCACTCTTCCTCACTGGGCATTTGCGTGTGATGTACCAACTGGATAGTGAATTCAATGTCATTAGAAAGAACTGGGCTAAAACCCATGCCAAGGTAGAGGATCATACAAGGTCTTTTATACTACATAAGGTTGGCTTCAAGGGGTGAAAAAGGAACCTCAGCAAAGAGTGACTATGCCCTTTCTTGGCTGTATGCTCTGTGAACCTGCTGTTAATGGTCGCTTAGTTAGCTTGGGTGGGCTCCACGTGTGTTTTGTACAGAATAATGTAGGGAAGGGGTGAGAGAACACAGAGCGCCTCGAGTCCTCTGAATTGCCTGACAGCAGCCATTGTCTGTCCCTGGAAAGGCAAGGCTTTGGTAAAGTGTCAGAAAGGGGACAGTCACGTTTTGCAAACAAATTGTTCTTTGTCATGCAAAGAGGGCCATGGCATACAGCTCTGGGATGAAGTCTGCCTGAGTTCTGTAAGTAATGAAAGTATTCAGTCTTGTCTGTGGCCCTTCATACCCATCTCTGCATAGCAAGAGCGTTTTTCTGTGAGCGGCACAAGTGTTTTAGAGCTTGTGGTTACCCCCTGCAGACTCCTGAGTTGCTCAAAGCCCACAGCTCTGGGATTCCTCCTTGAAAAACCTCATTCAGTTTTCTGGCTACATCAGGAGAACCTGTGTATAAAGTAATGGCTAATCCAACACCATGCAAGTATGCAAAGCTGACTTGTGACCCAGAGGGAGGTGTTACAAATACTTCCCTGCTGTGAGAGCTATCCTAATTGTATTTCTTAATCGCTGTTAAATGCAATGTGAGAAAATGTGCGTACCTTAAGTAATGATTCCTCCTGTTAAATCTGAAAATAGTGCTTCGTGTTCAGCTAAGACTCCTTTGTTCAAAGCAATTTAGAGCTATGAAGCATTTTCTTTGTGCAGTGTCCTGTGAGCAGGTGAGTATCAACCAGCCTCATTTTCTGGGTGAGAAAAGAAGACGCAGAAATAGAGGTTTATTTGGAAAAGGGTTCCTGAATTCATGAGGATTTCTGGTTTTGTGGTTCTCAAAAGGCAGTGGAAGAATTTGAAAGCTGTGCCTCAGACTTGCCCAAAGAGCAGCCAGGTTTCAAAGCAGAGGCTTGGCTGCTTTTGCACAGTGATGACCTTTATGAAGCTCCAGAAATACTTGTCTTTTGACTTGAGTGTGGGGTTGAATTGAAGTGTTTCTTGAAAACTAGAACTATTTATCAAATTTTATATCAAGGTTATTTTCAGGTGTTTAAATGTCAATGTACTGCTGTGGTTAGGTACATCCCAGACAATTCCCCAGCATCCTGATACCCGAACACTAAAAAGAAAGGGGTTAGGAACTGACTGGTTTTATTTAACGCCCAAACTGAGCAAACGCATGAATTGAACAACAGAAGTAAGGAAGAGTAATTTCATGTAAAGACTGCTCCTGTTTTAATACCGTGAGATGGGTAAGGGAAGCTGTGGCAGCTTGTACAGAATGGCTCAGCTCAGTTGATTTCAGCTCGATTGTGGTGATTTGCACAAGCCTCTGGCTTTGACTTACCCTCTGGTTTTCAATTGTTCTTATTTCCTCACTATTACTTTTTATGTGAGCAGCTTTTCTTTAATGAAACAGAAGCGTTTGTGTATCTTAAAAGTATATTTCTGACATTCAAATTCCATATCTCTAGGTTTCAGTCATGTGGTAAGCAGCCCTGTTTGCCAACCGTATAAAGTTAAACACCTGCATAGGACATGAGTCCTTATATATGCAAACAGGTTACATAGTACTGGAGTGGAGTGCAGTGTTGAATGATCTAATGAGACATCAAGCAGAATGATGTGATTTGTATGAAGCTGCTAAATTTCAGAGCCTGTGAACACAGGATTCAGTGCTTATCATTGTGGTGTTGATTTCTCTTCCCGGACAGGCTTTTAGCACAACCAAGGTGACTGAACTGTGTGCAGGTGCTCAGCGTACTTTTGCTTTTTATGGAGGAGAAAGCCCGTACCTGAGTACCTCTTCATCTTCCAGGTAGGCGATGCCTTTGTCTTTCTCTGGCTGGTGAACTTTGCAGTTGCACTGGGTCCACGGACCCTTGCTGGTGCCTTTGCCTCTTGTTCCTGGGCCTCTGGCAAACCAGCTGATGTTCCACTATGGCCACTCTTCATTGGAACAAGCAATGCGGTGAGACTGTGGGGCTGGACGTGAGCCCTGTCACATATCCAGCAAGTGCAGGTTTTACATGTAGGGAAGCCATTCTGCAGATGCTGCAGCCCCCCGACCCGACTGCCGCCCCCGCAGCACGCGCACACACACGTGCGCACCTATGGTCTGAGGTGTCATGAGCCCAGAGGGCTGAAAAGCATTTCTCTTAGACTGTATGATTTATAATGGTAAGAGAGATATGTAAGCATTTCTATTATTATTATGGATAATTTTAATTATGTATATTTTTATATAATTATATATATTCTATAATTATATAACCTTCCTTACGTGTTCATGTGAAACTTTGAGCCTTGAGACTTTTGTTTGCATTTCATGATTTTTATGAGGGCACATTTCATTAAGGAGCCAACCCAAACCAGACTGGGATTCTGAGATTCTGTGATTTTGTTCCATACCTTTAGCACTGGATGTAATTCTTAAATAATGGGCAAAATGAACCACAGATTCCTTCCAGTGCCAGTTATGTTAGTAGGGGTAAGACTGGAAAAGTAAATTGTGTTTTCTTCACCAGTGTCAGGAAACATGACCAAATTCAGGTTCCTCTTCATGCTGCATCAACAACCACCGCATCTTCAGGACCTGTGCATGCATCTTGTTCCAGTGCTAAGTAGTGCAGTTAGTAACTACTCTGGCTTTTTAATTTTACTGAGAACTAACTTAGTACCTTTCTGGCCTAGTTTTAGTTGTCAGTAAAGTCACTCTTTCCAGTTGTCTTCCTATTTTCTCAGTAGCCTTTGATCTGTAAGGATCCGTCCCAGCAGCTGTGGCTGTCAGCTTCAATGTTTCTAGTGACTTTCCTGCTGCAGACTCTAACCAGGAAAATACTGAAAACCTCTTGATAGCCTTCATGACATGATGTGATGTGGCTTGTTCTTCAGGTGGCACCATGTCTTGAATGCAGACATCTGCTGCCAGTGACTACACCCACTTGCATTGGATGGGAGTCACCAATAGCTCCACAGGTGCAGCCCCAAAGCAACATCTGCATAAAGGTAATTGAGAAGAAATCTAACAAAAGAGCAATTTACCTCCTGGCATGCATGTTTCTAACAGGTGACTTCTGTAAAAATAGTTTGATCCAGCTTGGGTTTCTGTGATTGCATTGTGAGAGCTTTAAGGGTTAATAGGATTCAAACCACCTTGAATAGAAATAAGCATTAAAGGTAAACCACGTAAGCTGAGGAAGGCATCTTGAAGAGCACAGGAGGCAGTTGTGTGAAAGACAGGACACGTGCACTTGTGTTCAGTAGGGAGGTATTCTGTGATTCTATCATTTATGGCCTTAGTAGTACTGAGCATTTCATTAAATAAGTCCTCATTACTCTGCTTCCCTCAGTTGATTGTAAGTGCTTGGCACAGATGGGCTGGCAGGACTGGGGCAGTGGGGAGATGCCCAAGAGGCTCAAGCGCCGCAGTAGTCAGTGATCCAAAAGTGCTGGTGGGCTTAACTAGACAAAATCTACCCTCCAGAATGCTCCTTACCCAAGGGTATTGGGACCCAGGTAGAGGCTGTCCTTCAGCCTTGCAGTCAGGGGAAAGGGTGTGAGAAGGAGTGAACTGATACAGCATGTCCACAACTGGTAGATTATAGGCACTGCCGCAGACTGGGTGTTTTCTGGCAGTCCTGATGCAGGTGCAAAGGCAGTCCTGAACTATTTGGTGGCAACCATCAAAATAGCAGGCTCATGATTCTCAGCTCTGGTGGAATCTGGCTTGTGAGATACAGTGACTGTGCTCGGGCACCCTCATGGGGATATGAATCATTTTCCTTGCAGACAGTGGTCTTGCTGCTTTGTGTGACTGCAGTGGCTGTTCACAGTTTGCAGATACCATGTGAAACGCATTCTTTCTCTACTTAAAAGGGCAAAGTAATTTGTCAGGCATGTGGCACGTGAAATCTTCACCATAAACACTGTGTGACTTGTGCAAGCAGGCTGCCTGAAATACAGACGCTGAGGCTTCTTGCATCAATCACAGCTGGGTTAATCAAATCAAAGCACAACATTCTTTTTCTCTGGAAAACTGAAGTCATAGCCCTGTGTCCCTGTTATAAAAGCAGAGATGGCCTCCCTCATGGGGTATTCAGGGCCCATACTCCCACAGAACCTCCATCACAAATGTCCAGCTCAACAGAAGCGTACCTTTGAGTTCCTCCTGTGGAAGTCAGGACTGTGTGTGCCACTGTGAAAGCTGAGAAGGCTCTTAGAAAATGGGTAGTCTTGGCTCCAAGAGTTTTGTTTTGTTCTGATTATTTTCAATTGCAGTAGAAAACTTGAGTGTCTGTATCAGGAAGACAATTTTTGTTGTTTTCCATTATTTTGTGAAAATAAAATATTGTTTTACATTATTTTTCTTATCTCCATTTTCGTCTCCATCTCTATGTGCATACCGCTCCTGTGCTTGGATTTGGCTGTGACTGTGTAACGGATGGGAACCTCGCTGAGAGTTGATTCCCTCTCCTGACTGAGAGACAACCCAGTGTGGGTTTTTCACAGTGTATTTGGCAGAGTCCATGTGTGTCTGTTCATGGTGACTGTTTGTCGGAAAGAGGCAGGAAACCATGAGGGTGCAGCTGTTCCGTGAGTTTCCTGCTTGGGCACGCTGGGCCACCTGGCCAATGCTGTCAGTGTGACCAACACTGAGATGATGAGGAACTGCACGGGCCCACGAGTAAACAGTGGCAGAGCTGGCATAAAGCCCCTTGTGTTTCTAAGGGTACAAAAGCAGGAGCCTCTTGTAGCTGACTCCGAGGCCTCACCTATGTGTGGATGGACCTCGTAGGAACTTTCCTGATTACCTGAGTCTCCCGGCAATGGCTGCAATGGGGCTTCCCAGCTGAAGTGTGGGCCTGGAGGATGGTTTGATGATGGCTGGTGATGTCTTTCTTCTAAGTCTCTGGTCTCTCTATGCAGTATTGATTCGATGCACTGCTAATTGTCATCTGTACTTTACTTATATACATGTACACAATTTGTTTTACTGTACTTACTTACTGTATAGAAATATCTACCCAGTTCGCTTTACTGTGCTTGTTTGCTTTAGTGTGCTGGTTTAATCCACTGTGCATGTTGTACAGCGAGTGTGTGATCATTTTGTTGAGTACCCTGCCTGTCAGCAGGACACTTGTGTACCCAGCAACCTCCCTGCCTCTCTTACAGACACCAGGTCCTGCTGCTTTCCCCAAGGTGGAACTGGACGTCTACGGAAAAGGACCTACCATGTACAGGATGGAACCAAAAGCAGCCTTGGAGGAGACAAAACAGCAAAGGGAGGGCCAGCAGACTGCCGCCCAGGCAAGGTAAGGCAGCCTGCCCACCTCTCCTCCTCTGCTTCGCAACTACCAGCCTTTGAGCATCCCCACCTTCTGTTGGGGCTTCTGAGAACACACGACCACCTTAGTGGAGTGACCAGTCACAGGACAGCAGGCCTGCTCCCCTGCCTTGGCCCAAAGCTGAGCAGAGGGAGGCCAAGCAACATATCTTTGCCTCTCCACTAGCTCAGCTGTTAATTAGTCTCAGCTATAAACATCATGCAGGCATGGGCTTAACTTTATTGAAGTTTGCACATAGACCTGCAACAAAATAAAGTGATTGAGATTGAGTGAAGTTTCCATCGAGTGACAACAAAACATAAAATGAAGCAGTGTGAGGAGGGGCATCTGTAGCAAAGATGGATTTTATTGTTTAAGTGAAAATTGGATGTTCTGGGCCAGTGGTGCCCTGTGGCAGCTTCTCACAGCTGCAGCTACATGACAGCTGACACAAAGGGCTGTGAGCAGCTGTAGCCTGTTAGGAGCAAGTGGAAGTGAAGCCAGAGTTAGTGTATGTAAGGAATGGAAGGAGAGCAGAGACAGCTCCTAATTCAAGGGTATTGCCAAAGGTTAATGTTGCTAATTCAGGCTGTGGCTGATGACAAAGGCCGTGGAAGCAGTCCTGGCTCAGCTGGAGGAGTTCACCCTCTGGTTGCTCAAATGCATGGTGTATTTGGGTCACTGGTAATGCCGTCTTTTGTAAAGCCAGCTTGTTTCAGATGTCAAAGGGAGAAATAGAAATGTATGAGGACTTGAAAGGTGAACAGTGGAAGGGAACTCAAATTATCTACCTGTGAAAAAGATGAAAAGGTAAATATTAAGGTAACAAAAGATCCAAGAGATCTGAGGCTTTTTCTTTCTCCACCTGTGTTTCTCTGGGCAAATCATGTACTCCCCAACATAGAGGTGTGATTGCGCCAGTGAAAAATCCTAAGCTTGAGACAGTCAATGGTTAGTTGAGAAGCTTTCAAAGAAGTGTGTTGGTTAGCCAGTGCTTGGAACCAGCTGTGGAGTGTGGCAGACATGCAGGTATGACTAGCATAAGCAACTGTGGTTGATCAGAGAGTTTACTGTTTCTGCTTGAGTCATTCTTCTGGGTACTGTGAACCCAGGTGTAGCAGGGATGCTCTGTTGATATGAATCAACCCTACCAGTAGTTCAGTTTTATTAAAAATGAAGGTCACTGGACATTTGATGGTCAAGGGAATATTAGCTTCAAACTTGTCCAGACCTTGGGAAAACTTAGAATCATAGAATAGTTAGGGTTGGAAAGGACATTAACATCATCTAGTTCCAACCCCCCTACCATGGGCAGGGACACCTCCCACTAAACCATTCCACCCAAGGCTTCGTCCAACCTGGCCTTGAACACCGCCAGGGATGGAGCATTCACAGCCTCCCTGGGCAACCCATTCCAGTGCCTCACCTGGAATTTCTTCCCTATATCCAGTCTAAACTTCCTCTGTTTAAGTTTGAACCCGTTACCCCTTGTCCTGTCATTACAATTCCTACTGAAGAGTCCCTCCCCAGCATCCCTATAGGCCTCCTTCAGATACTGGAAGGCTGCTATGAGGTCTCCATGCAGCCTTCTCTTCTCCAGGCTGAACAGCCCCAACTTTCTCAGCCAATCTTCATACGGGAGGTGCTCCAGTCCCCTGATCACCCTCTTGTCCCTCCTCTGGACTTGTTCCAACAGTTCCATGTCCTTTTTATGTTGAGGACACCAGAACTGCACACAATGCTCCAGGTGAGGTCTCACAAAAGCAGAGTAAAGTGGCAGGATCAGCTCCTTTGCCCTGCTGGTCACGCTCCTTTTGATGCAGCCCAGGAAACGGTTGGCTTTCTGGGCTGGGAGTGCACACTGAAGTCGGCTCATGTTCATTTTCTCATCGACCAGCACCCCCAGGTCCTTCTCCACAGGGCTGCTCTGAATCTCTTCTCTGCCCAACCTGTAGCTGTGCCTTTACTTCATAAGTAGTGATCAAATTCTTGGCCGGTTCATATTTGCATGAGTGTACTGAACTCCCCAGCTGCAGGTCTATCCATAAATTACCCCTTGAGCTTTCCTTGATAATGAAATCAACGCTTTAAATGTGGACTTTTTAACCATACCATATTGATGTTGTCAGATCTAACTGATATTCGTACACAAAGTGGATAGTTAGATAAAAACTGAGAGGACTTATTCTCTATTACTGGCAGTTTTTCCAAAAAAGGTTTGCTGGGTTTCTAGTGTAAGGAAAGCAGTAGAAAACACTGTTGGCATATGTTGCCCCTACTTTGTAGCACGTTGAACCCCCAGGCAACTCTTAAACGTCAATAGCAATATAAATTACTACTAGAAAAACAGCACTAAGAGCCAAGTAGTGGTGTATGAAACCCTCTTGATTCCAGAAACTGGTGATGTTTTCTCAAAGTTTTTAAGGTTTTCAGCAAATAATATATCAGATACCACAAATTGAGGAATGATAGTAAGGTAAATGTGAATTCCTGGATCAGAGAACCTGCAGTTTCTTGCAGGGCATGGAGAACTTTAATTTTGCATCCAAAAGGGATAGGAAGTTTTATATTTATTTTTCTTGAACTTTGATACAAATTGTTATTGTTCCAGAGCTTTTTTCCGGATCATATGATACCTTTTCCAAGTGAGCCCCATGCAGCTGTAAGCCACTCTGGGATATT